TCTTTCCCCCAAAATTTATAAAAGCCTGAGTTGTTACCAAAGGATCATCACAACCACTGAAGTTTAAATTAAGTCAGTGTCCACCTGAAGCTCCAGCTCCCTTGAGAGTCTCAGCTAGCCTCTGTCTACCCGTCCTTGCTCCTCAGCACATCCCACCTCAGCTTCTGCTCCTCTACTTACAAAAGCAGCACAACTCCACGTGGGCTGCACTACAATGATCTATTTACATGGTCATATGCTACTTTCTCCTGTAAAGATGCGTACTATTTGAGGCACGCTCGCATTTCAACAGCCATCAGCACCACAAGCAAACATAACTGCTTCATACAGCAAACTAACACTACCTACTGAAACCTTACTGGATACAGCACGGTGAATGCATGATAAAACATGGAGGAGATTAAGATTATAACAGACACATCACAGTAGATGTGTTTTACACATTCCTTTTGTCTTCTTCTCTTTCAGACACTCTTGAGAGTAAGGTTGTGCTAGTGTACTAAGAATGCGCCGTTGTATTATAATTTAAAGGTAAAAGAGCCTGTATTTTTATGAAATTGGAAATATAAACACATAAAAGCATGCACAACATAGCAATGCAAACTGAACAGACGGAGTCGTGGGGAAGGATTTTGAAGAGAATTATCTTATATGATATTCCAGCCCAGGATACATACTGTGGGAGTACAGGTTAGTATTTAACAAAAAAAAGTACTCGATCAGGTCTGGAAATCTTAATTTCTTAATATATAGCTTTCAAAACTGGAAACAAAAAAGCAAAATTCCACAGAAAGATGAGAATGTCTCCTTAACTTGCTAAAGTCACCGTGTAAATCACCCAATTTCTCATGTAGCGGCACGCAGCGCTCTCACTTGCAAGGTGAATTTGCTTCCAGCCTCAGCGAAACACGGGATACAGGCGGCTGGCCCGGACCTCTCCTCAAAGGCATACCCCAGACTGTCCATGGACGGTTTCTCTTGGCAAGGAAGGATTTATATTTACCACAGCGCACAGATCCCACGAGGATCTATATTAACCTAGCCACACAACCGAGGTATCACGGCTTTTCAAACGTGACCTGTTCTTCCACCCGAGCCTTCGCTCCCCTGCGTTAACGGGAAGCTCT